TGATTTGGGTGAAGAGAAGGGCAATGTACCAAATGTGAGGGATCAACAAGGTGACACTGAGGAAGACATAGAGAGCTACATGGGAGGTACAGAGAACAAAGATGAACCCTTCTGCACATAGAGTACTGCACTGTCAGTGAAGGCAAATGGGTATATATGGGTAGATAGTTGGGCGGACAGGCTGAACTATTAGGTATGTCTATGAAGCAGGAAGTGTATGCAAGACCATGTATAGGGTTGGCAGATGGTGGTCCTATAAGTCTATTTGTATGATCTAAATTCCCAGGTATATAGTAGAGCTGACAAGGGACAAGGTTGTAGTCACTTCTTGGTCACAGCCAGCTTACCCAGAGGGACTGAGTAGTTGAACCTGTGCGCTTAGGACCATACTCACAGGGGACATCAAGCTCAACTGGCGTAACATACTATACAAAACATTCTTCTACCTCCTACTTTGATGAGTAGCAATTGGGATCTTAAAAGCAAGCAGCCATCTAGATCCAACGATGGGTCTCTCTTCATCCAGAGCAAAGAATGAAGAAAACAGAAAGATTCAATGGAAAAAATTAGTCCTAGCGCCTGGTACACCATGCGATCCACAGCCTATACGACTATGAGACCAGAAGAACTAGATGGTGCCCAACTACCAACGTCAACCACCTGGAGGGGGATCTATGTAGGAGATCCTGGATAGAGAGGGCGAACCATGTGGAACAAAATTCAAAATCATTTGGGGAAAAAAAAGCGAAGGGGGGGCACCAGGTTTGCTGGTCTGATAGAGCCTGGTGGAACAAGTGAGACTATGGCCCACAGCTGCCCTTTGGATCTGGAATTGAACCCACACCTGTGGCTTCCACCCAAACAAAAGATAGGCATAGGAGGTGTTTATTTACCTGAGGCAGCTACACTCCTTGGAGAGAACAATCATGGTAAAAAGAAGGGCTATTTATGCACAGGGAGACAGCTCAGGGGGCAGGGGTGCGTGGAAGGATGGACACAGGGAAGAGGTGACTGTCGGGAGGAAGTGTGGGAGGGAAGCTGTTGCACTGTGGTGAATTGTGGTCAATGTCATGAGACAAAGTTTATGTGAACTGCTGTATGGAGAGTGAATTTGCTCTGTAAATTTTCACCCAAATCACAATTAAAAAAAAAACAAAAAACTTTCAAGTAATAATACTGGGTTTCACTTGGACAAGGCACTGCCTAGAATAAAAGGAAAAGTGGGCAATGAGAATATTCTTCAGTATCAGGCAGGTAAGTCCCTATAGCAATGAAGAATGTATCACTACAAGCTCCGATGGGTCTATCAGGCTGCCAAAAGTTGATGACTTGTCCCAAGAATGGCCACATCCCTTCGGTCTGATTCCATCCTTACCAAGCAACCTTCTGAAGACAATTATCTTTCAATAGAAACTTTCCTGCAAGGGAAAGAATGTGCTAAGCAGCTGACAGCTGATAGAATATTCTCATTTACAGCAATTTTATTTTTCATTTTAAATTTATAATTTAGCATTCTAGTTTAGTCATTAGTCTTTTATGAGTTTGGTCAGTAGGTTAATTATTTAGAGCCTTGGCTGAAACCAGATCTTACTTTTGTAACTTTAAGTCTGATGCTAATTCTTGGTGATTCCTCTAAAAACTATTTTAAAACAATGGTTAAGAACACAAACTACGAAGCTAAACTATCTAGGAGTTTGGGTCCTGGTTCTGCCACTTACTGTGTGACCTTGGCAAAGTTACTTAATCTTTCTGTGCTTCAGTTTCATCTTTAAGAGAATAATAATGATTACTACATTTGTTGTGTTAATCAAAACAAGTTGAAATAGCGAAAGTGCTTTGAATAGTACCTGGTACACAGCCAACATGTACATAATTTTACTGTCTTTATACTATTCAGGCTAGAAAAATAAAAAAGGTACCTTACTTTAATTGTAAATGAAAATGTTACCTTTGTAACGTTGGTGATTAAATCACTCAATTGCTTAATTAAATCATAGCCTAAGAAAGTGGCCAGCCCCCTCCTTTAAATATTTTTTTAAATGCTTTGCTACCTACTTCTCTGGGAGCTGGAACGTCCAATCTGGTTTCTGCTGGAGCTTTAACTGCAATAACAATCTGTTCATGGAAGGCTTGGATGCTATGAATATCTTGATATGTCACATATGCTAGTGTAAAAATCAGTCAAGGATCTCTAAGCTGAGTGTTACTTATTGGGGAGATAGTTTATCTCTTACAATACACAAATACAGTAAGTATAATGTTAGACTATCTATTTTTAGAGATAAAAGACTCACAAAGGAAGGAAAGCAGCCAGTAAACATAAATGATTTCATACATAATTCTTACTATTTTATAAACATTTCTTAAGATTTTACAGTATTTGATAATAATTATAAGTCAAATAATTTCTTGAGATGGTTTACTGTGGTTATGATGAGAATTTCTGGAAAAAGGAAAGTCCTAAGTCTTAATATAAACACAATTCATGAAGGTATGCAAATTCTCATCCTATTCCTTCTTTATTGCTACATCTTGCTATATGAGTACCTTTGAGGTAAAATATTCTGTTTAGATGAGGATCCCCTAAAATGAAAGATGGGAAGAATCTGTAAAAAGCAGAAACATCTTAGGATACATACATTTCTTGAGATTATCCTATATTCATGTGGTTTCCCTCATCCAAAATTATTTTCCATCTTACTACCTGACTGTTTTTCATCTGATTGAGTTGTCTCAAATTCTACCAATTAAGTGATTTATTGGCTTTCTCTAGCATTCTTTTTTCACTACAAGGCCTTTTGAGAGACCACAGTCATGTTAGCATTTACCTTCCTTCTAATGATTGTACTGTGGGAATAAGGGTATTGACTGATGTAGAGTGGTTAAGTAAATATGAAGTATGGAAAAGCTCAGAATTAGTGATACTTTCACAGAAGGTGCTGCAAGGGGAACAGAGCTGCACAACCTAGAAGGTTAGGTTAAGTACCAAAGTTCCCTGTTTTGTCCCAGAGAGACACTGAGCTTAAGAGTAGTACTGGCACCAGCTGCATTAGGCTTCTATGGACTAGAATGGCAGTTTAAGTACCATTTTGATATCAAGGCATTCTGTTTCAGAAATAAATTTAGATCACAAATTTAGGAAAAACATGAAATTTCACAAACACCAACATTTTTACTGTCTTTATACTATTCCGACTAGAAAAATAAAAAAGAAAGGTCCCTTACTTTAGTTTTAAATGGAAATGTTACCTTTGTAATGCTGCTGTACTGCTTAGGTCATCGATGCAGAATTTAACCAAAGAAACTTCATACAAAGAAGCTAAAGGCAATGATGCACTATTTATATACAGTTGTGGTTACACTAATGAACTTTTACTTACTTTAACTTCTAAAAGTCTAGTTTATTTTTATCTTAAATACATAAAATAAATCCCCAAGCTGACATAACTATTTGAAGTAAACTGTTTTGGAAGCAGAAATAAAATAAAGATGTAGTGTTAAAGGATATCTTTCATTTTCTTTATCATCTGTTAATGCAAACAACTGCTGTGCACAATCCTTAATTAATTCATCCAAAGCATCTTCCATTGCTGTTAAGTCAGAAAGTTCCTCCTGTAGCTTCTTTTGCTGGGGTATTGCTCCAAAATCATTAAGATCAGATCCTCTTTAAAAGAAAAATATTTTTTAAAATATCACAATAAATAACATCTAAGACATTATTAAAAAATAATCACAAATTAAAGTTATTGGAATTTATCCATATGTTTATATTAGGTGTTTTCCACAATGACAGAAATCAGGTACTTCAACTTAACTCTTGCTTTCTCTTTAGTCTAGACAGCCATTACATTATTCTTCCTGTACATAAATTAGTTTTTGCCCCCACTCACAGTTCCTAACATTATGTAGAGATTTCTGTACTTTCAAAAATATATTACACCAGGTTCTGTTGTACATAGGGTCACTATGAATTGAAACAAACTCAACAGTATCTAACAACAACAACAACTGAAATTAATAACAGTAGAGAAAGGTTAATGTAGTAGAAAGAGCATTGAACTAAGTGTCAGTAATACCCACCCTACGCCCTAGATCTACTACACAAAGCATGATTTCTCACAAGTTATCTTTTAGCACCTTAGGTCCTACATATGAAAAATAAGAGTGTTGGCTAAATGAGAGTTCTTCTGCTAAAAGTCCATGATTCTATATTTTCCCCAAATGTTCATATTCTATCTGGTTCTAGTTGAATATAATGACTATTCATTAATCTTAAAAGATATATTCTCTTTAGTTATTTCTATTTCAATATTAAATGACCTGAGGAATATCTGATATTTTTTTCTCTTCAGTATTTATAAAAAATAAAGGCTTTTGATCACTTTATCTTTTGCTTGCTAGCTTTCAAAACTGATTTCAACTAGAGATTCAGAATACACTCTGATATGAAACCCTACCATGTTTTTTAATGTTATTTCATTTTTTGTTGTTGTTACATGTCATCAAGTTGATTCTTACTCACAGCGACCACACAGGACAGAGCAAAACTGCCCTAAAGGGTACCTAGGCTGTAGTTCTTTATGAGAGCAGTTGGCCAGGTCTTCTGTCCTGCAGAGTGGCTGGTGGATTTGAGCCAGTGACCTTGAAGTTAGCATCCTAGTACTTACAACAGTGCACCGCTAGGGCTCCTGTATCATGTAGTAAACATGTAGTAAACATGCAGTAAACATATTCATATTAGAATTTAATCTTATTTCTGTACTACTGAAAAAGAATTTTTAAGTAACTTCCTTTATTAATTCCTTTCCCCCTTCCTCTAATGACTATTTGTAAGGAAGGTTGGGCAATCTACTTCCGTAGTGATACTGCCTCGGAAACCCAAGGAGGGGTCGCTATGAGTCGGGTCCGACTCCATAGCACATAGCAACAAGCAGCTAATGACTATGTCAATTATTTAGACTCATTTCATAATCTTTGTTGATTTTTCATTTGCCTAAAAGGTCTCTATTTGACTATTGTAAAAATAACATTTTAGTTGGATCTACAATCAGTGACCAGGGAAGCAACAGTCAAGAATTCAAAGGACTACTGCACTGGGCAAATGTGCTGCAAAAGACCTCCTTAAAGTGTTAAAGAGCAAAGATGTTACTTTGAAGACTAAGATGCCTTGATCCAACCCATAGTATTTTCAATAGATTCATCTGCATGTGAAAGCTGGTCAATGAATAAGAAAGGCCAGAGAAGAACTGATGCATTTGAATTGCAGTGTTGGCAATGAATACTGAATACTTCATGGACTGCCAGAAGGAACAAATCTGTCTTGGAAGAAGTACAGTGGAATGCTTCTCATAAGTGAGAATGGCTAAACTTCGTGTCTCATACTTTGCTCATGTAATCAGGAAAGATCAGTCTCTGGATAAGGATATCATGCCTGGTAAAGTAGAGGGTAGGAGCTCTGGTAGCATAGTGCCTAAGGCACTTGACTGCTAACCAGAAGACTGGGGGTTCAAACCCACCAGCCACTCCTTGGAAGGAAGGTTGGGCAATCCTACTTCCATAGTGATACTGCCTTGGAAACCCAAGGAGGACTCGCTATGATTTGGGGCTGACTCAACGGCACGTAACAACAACAAAGTAGAGGGTCAGTGAAAAAGAGGAATACCCTCATAACAACAACCATCCTCAATGAGATGGACTGACCACAGTGGCTGTAAGAAAGGGCACAACAGTGATTGTAAGGATGGTGCAGGATGGCCAGTGTTTCGTTCTGTTGTACACAGGTTCACACTGAGTCAGAACCAACTCAAAAGCACCTAACAACAAGCATAATAAGCATTCTTGTTTTCTGTGTGTATGTTTACGGGTATGTGCATTTAAAACAAATCTCTTAAGGTTCTTTTTCCATGGGATTCTCCTAATCATGTCTTTAGCAACTGCCTTTAGATGTTAATTTAAGTCTACTGATTTTTCTGCTCTCTAAATCATAAAATCCCCCATCTTCTTTAAAGTATACTTTAGATTCAGGGGAATGTATGTCAAAGTGTGATCAACAGTCCACCTGTAACATAATCATCTGGGGTAGATGTTAAGAATGCAGATTCCTGCCTTCTCCTGGAACTACTGAATTAGAACTCCTGTAGTCGCAGGTCTCTAGGTGGTTACCATACAAATATGTAAGAACAATCATATTAGAACGTTTACTGATTTCCTCCTGACATCAACAATCAACTGCGAGGGAGGAAATTACCTTTCAAAATCTCCAATATAACCAGATGTGCCATTCTTATGATTTTCTGCAAGAAAATTTTGTACAATCTTTTTCTAACAAGAAGTCATAAATTACTTTGATTTATACTATCAAAACATTGCTGTAATCTACCTTCTTTTAACAAAAAGAAAAAAAAGTCAATGAAAAGTTTGAAACCAACTCACATCCACCGAATATGGTTCTTAGATTTCTTTTCAACTAGGTCGATTCCATCTAAGACATTGGTGATGTCATATACTCTCCGTTTCCGTACTCCCAGTTTTGTCGCAACCTTGTTTAAGTCAAGAATACCCCCAGGAGCAGATCTGACAAGATCCATAAATTTTCTAGTTAAATAAACCAATGATACATCAAAACGAGGTCTCTTCACTTTTAGAGCTTCTGAGAAACAAAATAAACATAGTTGTAAAACTTTAAATAACATTTCTTTTTTAAACTTATTTTTAAAAATAATTTATTTCCTTCTTTATCAATAAGCACAGACACACAAAGAAATTCCTACACACTGACCAAGTCACAGCTAGTACCTTCTACAAAAGAGATTTCTCAAATATGATTAAAGAAATTATTAGCTAATCTCTAAACAAAGGCTTTTGATTTAAATGAAGTATTTGAAATATAAGGAGCTCTGGTGGCGCTGTGTCTAAGGCATCTGACTGCTAACCAGAAGGGTGGCGATTCAAACCCACCAGCCACTCCTTAGAAGGAAGACTGGGCAATCTACTTCCGTGAAGACTCACCACCTCGGAAATCCAATGGGGGTTGCTATGAGTTGGAATCGAATGAATGGCAGTAGGTTTGGTTTGGGGTTTATTTGAGATATACAACCAATTTCCATTTCTCATTAAAGTAAATTTCTCATTTGGTCTTCAAAATGTGGAAACCTTTAGAAAGCAAAGGCAAATACTTGGTTTTTTCAAAAAACTGTTTCTATATATGTCATAGTATAAATCTTTCTGATGCCCTGATTAGTCTTCTCTGAGAGCAATCATGATACAAACCTTGAGGAAAAGTGATATATTTATTTTTTAAATATTCATTATCATGTATTAACAATATATAGAAACAGGAAAAAAAAAATCCCTTTAATGCCCCAACTCATCTACTATGAAGATTTTGTTTTCATATATAAAAAACACATTAAAAAAAAACCCCAAACTCCCAGCTGTCAAGTCGGATCTGACTCACAGTGACCCCTCCTTGGGTTTCCGAGGCAGTATCACTACAGAAGTAGATTGCCCAGCCTTCTTTCTGAGGAGTGGCTGGTGGGTTTGAACCACCAGCCTTCTGGTTAGCAGTCAAGTGCCTTAGGCACTACGCCACCAGAGTGCCTATAAACACATATACACATATACAAATGTGTGTGTAAGTGTGTATAAGGTGTATTTAAAAAAAAAAAAAAAGATCACGCCACTTTGTAACAGCTTTTTTCATTCACATTGTGAACATCCTGACATGAAAATAAATGTATTTCAACATTATTCTTAATGGCTGCATACTATCTGACTAAATGGAATACTTGCTACACTAATCCCAATGTTGGAAATTCAGAATGTCTTCAACTTTTTACTATTTCGCACAATACTGTAATGAATCTCTGTGTAAACTTTTGCAAGCATTTTTAATTGTTTCCTTTAGATAAATTCCAATTATGTAGAATTGCTGAGTTAAACCAAAAATCACACCACATGCTATGGAGTCAATTCTGACTCAAAGCAATCCCATGGGGTTTCCAAGGCTGTAAATCTTTACAGAAGCTGACTGCCTGTCTCTCCCATGGAGTGACTGGTGGGTTCAAACTGCTAACCTTTTAGTTAGCAGGTGAGTATCTTAAACACTGTGCCACCAGAGATCCTTACCAAATGAGAAATTCTAACTTAAAAAGCATGTATTTTATTATACTAAATTACTAACAAAACAAGGTTTTATAAGCTCAAGGTAAGTACATTCCTATCATGTGAGTCATTTTATTAAAATATATATATATATATTAATTGGACATCTATAACAAAACAATTGCTGAGGGGGCAGAAAGGTGATTAAAAGGTCTTCAAATTAAAAGAGTTCCATAGTTTAATAAGGAACTCTAAAATAAATGCTAAGAGAGGTAAAGTTACTTGAGAACATGAAATAAAACCTTAACTGGAATGAGAAATGAGGAAGGCCTCCCAATGCGAATATGCTGAGAACAGCATATAGAAAGATGAAGAGGACGGTGTTCTTTCTCCCACTCTGAGGCAGGGCAAGGGGTGAAAGGAGACAGGAAACAACATACCAAAAGACAAAGCAGCATTTGAGAGGAAGGTGTATTTAGGGAATCCACAAATAGTGCAGCTTTAGCAACAGATAAGGACGGAGGACTGCTGGAAGATGAGGTTACCAAGGTAAGCAAGAAACCACCTTGTCCTTTTATTTATCTATTCTGTACTGACTTCTTCCTTTTGAAGTATGAGGTGGCTTATAAAAAATCCAATATATGAGGAGTCATGGTTTTCTTTATAGATGATAGGGCATCACTGAAGAATTTTAGGCTGAATGATACCATAATCCTATTTCTTTATTAGAAAAAATTGCATTGGTGAGTTCCAGCAAGATGGTGGACTAGGCAGAAGGACTGCACAGACGCTCTTCAACAAAGAAAAGGGAAACCAATTAACACAGACACAGAAGATAATCTTGGACCCATGAGCCTTGAAGGGAAGG